TAGGGTTCAGGGCTAAAAAGGCTCACCCCACGCCCACCCCCAACCCCCACCCCCGCTCCCCGCTCCCCGCTGAGCACTCCCACCCCTAATCCCTGAACCCTACGAGCCCCCTGCACACAGCAGACCCCGGCAGAAAGTCGTCGTGAAATCTCAGGTGGTCACTTCTCTAAATCTTTTTGGGGTTGCTATTACTATTTCAAGGCGGCCCCGAATAATTAGGGTACCCAAAAACGGGCCCATATTTTGGAGAAGGCAAGTCACCATGTGAAGCCCACCACCCTAAACCTTAAGCTCTCAACCCGCAACCCTAAACCCTCAACCCTAAACCCTCAGCCCTCAACCCTGAACCCTCAACCCTCAACGCTCAACCCCCTAAGCCCTAAGCCCTAAGCCCTCAACCCTAAACCCTCAACCCTAAACCCTCAACCCTAAACTACTACTTGCTTAAGAGCCCAGAAAAAACACAAATATTCTTCCTTATGGAGGTTAATATAGGTTTTTTTTATTCTTTTATTCTTTTGGGGTTCTTGAGCAAGCAGTAGTAAACCCTCAACCCTCAACCCTCAACCCTCAACCCTCAACCCTAAACCCTAAACCCTAAACCCTAAACCCTCTTGCAGAATCCCGAGCTTCCTGAGGCGCTCGCCTACGAGCTTCGGAGCCTCGAGCCTCGCTTCGAGGTTTGGGGTTTTGGGGTTTGGGGGTTTTCGATAGGGATTAGGGTTTGGGGAGGAGTGGTTTGGGGTTTGGGGGTTTCGATAGGGATTAGGGTTTGGGGCTTAGGGTCTCGGATTTTGTTTTTTTTTGATTTTTTTTGTTTTTGGGTTTTGCGGTTGGGGTGGTTGAGGGCTTGGGGGGGTGATGGGGGTTTGCTTGTAGTGTTGAGGCAAGTTCGAGGCTTGCGGTTGAGTTTGTCTTTAATGTTTTCAATTTTTGCGTGGGCTTGTGGGGGTGGGGTGGGGGCGGGGGGTGACTTTAATTCGGGAGTTGTGTTTTGTTTTCTTAGAATGTTTGCGTTTGTTCGTGTTTATTGAATCGCGGCCCAAGCTCTTGCTGCTTTCAGACCTTGCACCCGACCCTAGCCTAAACCCAAAACCGTGCCCTGAACCCTAAACCCAATCCCTATAAACCCAGAAGTTGGGATGTTCTCGCTTATACTAACAGTCCTGAATGGGGATTAGAAGCGCATGAAGATCCCTGTTCAGGACTGTTAGTATCAGGGGGAACGTCCCAAGAGCATTCATACCAATCAACTGCACAAAGTGTCATTGTCATAGGTCTAGGTTTTTCGTTTGAGGCCTTGTGACAAGTCGAAGGCACCTGTAGAGCCTCGAAGGCAAGCCAAGTGCAAGAGCTTAGTAAGGATTTGTGATCTTGGCCGCAGGATCGTAGCGGGATTCGCGACAAGCGTGATAGTGGCGAGAGTTGTGTGACAAACCCCCGTGCCTCGGGTCTTGACACGGCTTCTCGGGAGTGGCGTGACAACTGCGGCGAGTTCTTGATACTCTTTACAGCGTGTCGCTAGCGTTAGGTTCACGCGAGCGCTCAAACCTCTCTTGTCTCACGCAGGCTGCCATCATTTTCCATATTTACCAACATACTCATTCTAGTTAAGTCGGCCCCCTATAGAACGGCCCTTAGCTTCAAGCTTTAGTCGCTAAACCGGGCGGGGGGGGGGGGTGTGGGGTTAGTCTATCCTGAACCCTACATCCGTCCTAAGCCCTATAAATCCACTCTAAACTCTATAAGCCCCGGAAGAACGCCTCTAAGCCCCCGAATCAAGATTGGATGCGGCAGGATTTCAGCTCGCCGTTGGTGAGCTCGCGGGGGTGACCCTCCTAGAGCGCCAGGGCCCCAATACATAGACACATGTGTGTATCGATGCTTATACACAAAGGTGTATGACATGGTGTACTGGCATCAGCTTCGTTGATTAGACTACGCAAGCGGCGGTAGCAGGTCTGACTTGGCGGTTGGAACAGCAAGGGCCGCGAGGTTCAGAGGTTGGAGGTTCATGCGTAGTGATAAGTCGGGGAAAAGTAGGGGTAGCTACATAATTAGAGCTGGTTAGAACATTGTCTAGGGCACTTAACCCTAGTCTTCTAATTGCCCACCGTGGAATTGGGCAGCCTTTGACAAGATGCTCCCCAACCCGGCGCCCTTAAACCAGTACTTGAAGGTTCATGGGTAGTTTTCAGTAGGTTTAGAAGTACCTAAACCAGGTTATAACAGGTATAACAGTCACCCTACGAGTGTGCTTTGGTGAAGCTTCAGGCGCATGTGCCTAGCATTTGAGAAGAGAGCAGGGACTGCGACGGAGTCCGTTCCACTTGAGGTTCGGGTCTTTACTTGAAACTTCAAGGGCACGGCGTGTGTGGCTTAGGGTTCAGCCCAAAACCCTCCATTGAGCTTGCCAAGGTTGGAGCGGTCATGGAGTGGTCTCCCAAAGTGGGGACCTGCTGCGCCAGTTCGGCGCGCGAGCTGGCAGGGAGACAGAAAAGGTACTCGCGCTTGCGTACTTCTCGGCAGGGTTAGGGCCTTAGGGCTTTAGGTGCTTTGGAGTTGCCATGAGATTAAGTCCATCTTACAAGCGCGTAGTCCACATTACCAGTGTGCGGGTGGCTAGACCCGGCCCCACGCTGCTAGTGCGTGCCCGCGGCCAGCTAAGCGAGAAAACACCGCCTACGCAGTACACCACTCAAACGTGTCCTAAAGCAGCCTGACTTGTTCAAGTCTTTTCGGGGCTTTGAAATACAGTAGCTCATCGCGTGAATTTGACTGGAACACTCGAAACCAGGTAACTTCCACGAGGCCAAGTGCTCATGCAACACGGTACTTACTGACGGCGAACGTGGGTCCCACAGTCACGACAACAACAAGGGTCAAAACTCAGCAACCATCCATTATGCCAGCGCACACCCACAGCTGTGCGACGACAACCGTGGGGGTCTGTGCGTAACTGTAGTGTGTTCAGCCTAATTACTGCATGGGCCTGAGAATCCTATGTAGAACCCTAAACCCTAAACCCTAAACCCTAAACCCTAAACCCTAAACCCTAAATACCCATGACACTTCAAGTGCACAGGGGCCTCGGTGGGAAGGAAGAGCCTGTCATAGGCGCTGGGGAGCTGCAGGTCCACTTCTCAATGGGTCCTTTGGGTTTAGGGTTTAGGGTTTCGGGTTTCGGGTTTAGGGTTTAGGGTTTCGGGTTTGGGCTTCATCGGGGATGATGGCTGATTCCAGCACAAGACCCCGTCCAAAAAAGAACCCCCAAGCCCTGAACAACCTTGTCTCCCGTTTTCCCAGGACGCCCTTCTCGCTAAACCCTAAACAACCCTAACCCGAAACCCTAAAAACCCAAAACCCTAAACCCCAAACCCTAAACCCTAAACCCTAAACCCTTCAGGACCATCTCTCAGAGGAAACCGCACAAAGCCCCAGGACCATGTGCACTTCTGCTACATTGGTGAGATCAAGCCAGAGGCAAGGGTTTAGGGTTTAGGGTTTAGGGTTCAGGGTTCAGGGTTTAGGGTTTAGGGTTCAGGGTTTAGGGTTTAGGGTTTAGGGTTTAGGGTTTAGGGTTCAGGTTTAGGGTTTAGGGTTTAGGGTTTAGGGTTTACGGTTTAGGGTTTAGACACCCTAAACCTAGACCCTAAAACCCTAAAACCCTAAACCCTGACCTGAAACCCTAGTTCAAAAAAAATCGGCCCATTCTGAAGGCAGCTCTGCGGGCCGCAATGCCTAAGCCCCCTTGGGGGGGAAGACTTTCGGATTGGGACCCCCTACTTGAAGGTTCATGGGTAGCCATAAGCAGGGTTTAGGGTTTAGGATTTAGGGTTTCGGATTCAGGGTTTAGGGTTTAGGGCTACTTGAAGGCTCATGTGTAGTTATAAGTAGGTGACAAGTACCCGAGATATGGCTATAACCAGTAAGAATTCCAGCGACCCCACTTACAATGCAACTAAGAACTACTGTATTGAGGTTGAGGCTGAGGGTAGGCTCCATGGCCCTTAATATGGTCCCCAACCTCCTTGAAAGGGTTCTGATGTATGGACCCTGAATTTTTCTTCGTACTTTCTAGGGTTTAGGGTTTAGGATGCAGAGGGGTGGCAGTGGGCTTGGGGCCGAGTATGCAGCTGCTGCTGGTGCCCATCTTGCATGAGCTTCTTCGACAAGAATCCGGAAGCCCTAAACCCTACACCCTAAACCCTACACCCCAAACCCCAAACCCCAAACCCGAAACCCGAAACCCCAAACCCCAAACCCTAAACCCCAAACCCCAAACCCTAAACCCTAAACCCTAAACCCCAAGCCCTAAACCCTAAACCCTAACCCTAAACCCTAAACCCGTTCTCAGACGCATGCCGGCCACAGGAAGTGAAGCTCCTCCCAGGCCCCGGAGGCTACCCTGCCGAACTTTGATGAGGTTTCGGGTTTAGGGTTTGGGGTTTAGGGTTTAGGGGTTTCGGGTTTAGGGTTTAGGGCCACTTGGGGTTCATGGGTAGATGAGTTAGTAGTTCGTAGTTAGTACTCAGTAGTTTGCGGTTCGTAGTTAGCAGTCAGTAGTTATAGTAGCTAGTAGCAAGTAGTTAGTAGTTAGTAGTCAATAGTCAGTAGTCAGTAGTCAGTAGTCAGTAGTCGTAGCGTCGTCGTCGTCGTCGTCGTCGTCGTGGTGGTGGTGGTGGTGGTGTCCGCCGCGCGCAGGGCTGCAAGCAGGCAAAGATGGAGTAGTAGTAATCAGAGTAGTCAGGGTAGTGGGTAGTCAGGGTGGTCAGGGTAGTAGGAGTAGTAGGAGTATTAGGAGCAGTACTAGTACTAGTCAGGTACAAGGTACAAGTCATCTGAAGTAGGGGCAGCACTTGCATGAGTTGACGGTGGCATACATCTCGGCTTCAAGGCCAGATTGCTCTGGTTTACCACGAGATGTTCCGGCTCCTCGCTCTGCCTCTGTTTGGGCTCGACGGCTGGCCTGTGCATGCCCTCGGCTTGGACGATGACGGATGCGTGGCAGGGAATCAAGAGTGCGCGCTGAGGGCTTTGCAGCTCCATGCAGCGCGGTTGGATCTCGCTCGGCCACCACACCGCTTGAAGAGGTTGTCGTCGCCTCCAACAGCTTCACGGAGCTTGACAGGTACAAAGGTGCGGTCTTCTTTGGGCACATGAACCCGGACGCTGACAGCATCGGCTCAGCCTTTGGCGCCTCCGAGTTCTTCGGTGGCGGTGCCATCCCTGCTTGTCCCATGCAAAGGGAGAAGTGCCCAAATGCGGAGTCCAAGTTCCTCATGGATCATTTCCATGTCGGTCTGGACGAGGTGCCGGTACTGAGCGATGTCCCCGACCTGGGAAGCAAACACATTGTCCTGGTCGACTTCAACGCCCCGGCGAAGGGGCCCAATCCGAATTTTCCCAAGGACGCCCTCCCGCCGCTGGTCAAAGACGGTCGTTGGTTGTCTCCTCCGGTGGTCGGCTCCATCGATCAGGTTGCACGATCATCGGCTTGAAGTACAAACTCCATGGCCGTGTGCCAAGCACCAAGGCCGCAGGCCTGATGTTGGGAGGCATTCTCTCGGATACCTTAGGCCTCACCGGCCCCACGACGACAGAGTACGACAGGGAGGCCGTGGCGTTCTTGAGCAAGCACGCGGGCATCACAGATACCAAGGCGTTGTACGAGTCCATGGCAGAAGCGAAGTCGGCCGGGGTTCTCACAGAACCCCTGGAGAAGACCTTCGATGCCGACTTGAAGGTCTACGATGTGGTGCCTGGGAGGGCTGGCTTGGTCATCGGCTCTGTGGAGGTGGCCAACCGCAGGATCTACCAGGCACTGCTGAGCAAACCCCAAGGCGTGCTCGCAGAGGCAGTGGCAAAAGGTGAAGGCCAAGCATGCCGCTGCGCAGGGCGCAGCCGAATCTCTACGTCTTTGTCTGGATCGTGAACGGCCAGGACAAGGAGTCCACACTGGTGATGCTCCGCGGCGGCGCCGAAGCATGCATCGCCACCCACGCGCTGTCCCGGGCAGGGCCAGATGCCCCTCCCTTGCCTGAGGAGAAGGAGTGCAGGCCTGCGGAGGCCCAGGGCCTTGCGGGCGCGGAGCAGGTCGTCTTCATCCCCAGCGGGTCTTGCGTGTCGCGGAAGGCCCAGATCCAACACCCACTGGAGGCCTCGGTGATCGCCTATACTGGCGGCAAGCTGACATGCTGAGAGGTTTTCGTGCCCAAATCTGCCCGAGTTGTGGGGCATGGACCGGCGGGCCTTATATAGGTGGGCCATAGTGGAGTTTCCAGATGATGCTGCGTGCGGCTCTCTTGACAACCACTCACCGTTGATCGAAGGTCTCGGTGGCAGGTAAGAGCAGTCGATCGCATGCCGTTGCTTGTGCTGCCAAGCTCGTGGAGCCAGAAAGAATGTGCCGAATCCGAGAAGGGTCTTTGTGCTGATAACTTGGGATGTTCCCCCTTATACTAACAGTCCGACAGTCCTTAGTAGGGATCATAGTACCCCCTGTTAGAATCCCTATTAAGGATTGTTAGTGCCACAGGGGACATCCCAACGTATAACCCACAAGAAGTAGGCTTTGTGAATCTGTGCTTTAGGCTTTAGGGTTAGGGTTTAGGGTTTAGGGTTTAGGGCTTAGGGCTTAGGGCTTAGGGCTTAGGGCTTAGGGCTTAGGGCTTAGGGCTTAGGGCTTAGGGCTTATGCAATCGGTCATGCGGACTGTCACGAAGCGAGACACTTAGGGCTTAGGGCTTAGGGTTTAGCATGCTTGTCGTGCCAGGTCCAGGATCTTGGCCTTAATGAACTATGGGCCTCCATTTAAAGTATCTTCCATATCCCACTTTGGCAGTATTCATATACATATGGGGGTTTACGAAAATCGGGGACCCCCAATATAGTCCCCATATAGTAGGATTCCTCTATAACAAGGACCACAAAGTACCCCTATAGTTCGGAACCATGGGGGGGTGGGGCGGGGGCGGGGGGGCGGGGGCGGGCTCTGGCTCCCAGTTTAGTACAAGGGCCCGAAACATGCATATCTTCCTGAGCTACTGCAAAGCCAAGGCCTGGTTTAGGATTGAAACCCTAAATCTAAGGGTCGTTATATGGGCCCTCAGTATGGTCCCTTACCTCCCTTAAAGGGTTCTCTGACGTCATCAAGACGGGGTTTAGGGTTTTGGGTTTAGGTTCTGGGGTTTAGGGTAAGGGTTCCAGGGTGGTCAGATCGCAAGCTACCAGGTGCCGACGATGAGGACGCGAAAGAGCCGCCCAAGCCCAAGGCCGGAGGCAAGAAAGTCGAGGCGCTTTGAGGGGAGCGTGTTTTTGTTGCAGGGAATCTTGTTTGACAAGTGCTCCGCGTTTTTGAGGGTTGTTGGCTTTCGGTGAAGGCTCGGGAGGCTTAGGGTGTTCAGGGTCCGAGCTAGGTGTTCCCAGTGGCTTCTGGCTGCCTTTTCGGTTTGCGCGATTTAACTGGGGGTTTTACGGGTCAGGTTCGAGCTTGTGTTGACAGGACCCATGAACCGTAAACCTATAAGCCCTACACCTCCCAAAGCCTAAACCTTGAAGCCTCATCTGGTGACGAAGCAGCTTGTTCTGTGATCGGGTTGGTTGCCCTACAGTTTATGTGCTTGATGGTGCTATGGTGCTTGAGGGGTTTGGGTTATGGTAGCACGTTTTTCATGTTTACTGTGTTTATCCCGAGAGGGCCCCAAAACTCTAAACCTTCCCAGACCCCCCCCCCCCAAACCCTCAAACTACCCTAAATACCCCCATTAAAATACGCTTAACAGCCCTTTTTAAGTTATTAAGGGGTACTTGGGGGGGGGGGGGGGGTCTTGGTTAAACCCTACAGTACTAGAAGCCTACTGTAGCCCTAAGCCCTAAGCCCTAAACCCTGAACCCTGAACCCTGAACCCTGAACCCTGAACCCTGAACCCTGAACCCTGAACCCTGAACCCTGAACCCTGAACCCTAAACCCTGCACAAGCGCTGGCTCTTATGCGTGTTCCTGGCTGCTGATTGGGGGGTCGTTCCGGTTTCCTAGCGGGTCCCCAGACAATCAGGCCCCCCCCCCCCACCCATCCCAAAGAATAGGCTCGGCCTACAGCCCTATGGCCTATGGCCCTATGTTCCTTGGATTGAACACGCCGTCCAGGGTTGGCGGAACCCTAGAACCTTAGCCCGACGGCCCGGCCTAACTTGGCCCGATTCCACGTGAGAGGAGCCTGAAGCGGTGATGCTGCAGCCGGGCTCGAAGATCGGCTGTGTGACCACAGGCAGCGTGGGGATAGCAGGGCAACGCAGGGCAATCGTTGCAACGAGCCGTGTGTTGGAGGTAACTTTTGGTTTCAGCTTGGCTTTGTGGGGAAGTTGTCTGGCTTTGAGGAGGGTACTGTAAAAAGCCTCAAGCCTAAAACCGAAGCCTCGGAAACCCTGTAAAACCCTAAGCCCTCCCCTCCAAGCCCCTAAACCCTGGGCCTCAAACCATCCCCCAATGGAGCCTAAAACCCCACAACCTAGGCCCCTCCAGCATGAGTTTCAAGGTTTTGACTCCCGCCCTGGGCCGCCCCACGCCCGCATAGAATCTCCAACGCGTGGAGATAAGGGCTTAGACAGGGTATGTTTGTGTTGGGGCATTTCGGGGTTTGGGGTTTTAGTGTAGCTCATCCTGTTTTGCCCTAAACCCGAAACCCTAGACCCTAAACCCGAAACCCGAAACACTAAACCCTAAACCCTAAACCCTGTAAAGCCCCCTTTTTGGAGGGCTTCGAGTTGTCCAGGTCTGCCAGCCTCCTCGCTAACCGCAGCAGCCCGGGCACAGCTGCTCGTCCGTGCGGGCAGTTTCGCTTCTAGGGTTCAGGGTTTAGGGTTTAGGGTTTAGGGGTTTAGGGGTTTAGGGATTGAGGGTTCAAGGGGTTTAGGGTTTGGTGCTGTAGGAGAAAAAAGCATGGAAAACGACAGGGGACGCGCCAACTCAAAAACAAGCAGGGCTGAAACAAGTAATTTTGATGCTGACTCATATCATTCAGAAAATTGAAAAAACCCTAAACCCTAAACCCATAAACCCTAGGCTCATATCCCAGGGGCCCTGGATCCTAAGCGAGGGCCCAGCCCACCTCAAGCTTTGTCGGTCTAGGGCTTTCACCGCCAACTCCCACAGTGAAGAACGTTAGAAGCCACGTCAGGAGCAGGGCTCACAGGGGGCCTGCAAAAAGGTCTCATGGTCCGTGCGGTTCCAGACTCTTAGGAGGTGCGGGGATGGCAGGGCGTGTGGGGCGTTGCAGGAAAGTTGGTTGCGGGGGGTTTAGGGTTTAGGATTCAGGGGGGTCGCAGGGCCTCCGGGCCAGGGCAGGTTGTAAGGGGTCCCACGGAAGGTGGGGAGAGTGGGCAAGGTCATGTGAAGAGCGGGCAGGGTCACAGGAAGAGCCGTGAAACCGTGCCCGCCGCTCGTCATCCCGCTCTTCACGTGACCTTGCCCGCTGGTGAAACATGACCTTGCCCACGAAGTCAGCAAAACATTTACATTCGCTACGATGTAGAGGTTCAGGTTTTAGGTTTTAGGGTTCAGGGTTCAAGGTTCAAGGTTTAGGGTTTAGGGTTTAGGGCTTAGTCAGGGTTTAGGGTTTCGGTTCTGAGCCCCTAGCATCTTCGGATCCCAGGATCCGGGCGACCTTGGTGGCCGGGGAAGGCGAAGCCGCGCAGGTTCTGAAGGCGGGGTTTAGGGTTTAGGGTTTAGGGTTTCGGGTTTAGGGTTTAGGGTTTAGGGACCCTCGAGCGGTGTCGGGAGCAGGGAGCACTAAAACCTTGGGGAGTCTTCTACTCCTTGCTTGTGAAGAACCATCCCCCAAAAAATGACCTTCCTTATAAGGGCGACGCAGGGACTGTTATTTAGGGTTTAGGGTTTAGGGTGTAGGGTATTCTTTCTTCTTGTTGGGGGAGTATCTACAGCAAATGGCACCTCGCGCATGAGCTCATGAGCTCCAGACCTTCACATCCTGCATGCTCGAGCTAAACCCTAGGTCGTAGGCTGACCCTTCAGACGCCCTAGGGTGTAGGGGTTTAGGGTGCAGGGTTGAGTGTTATCAAAAGGGCCCAAGGCCCTGAAATGCGAGGCCCCAACCCTAATCCTCCGAAGTGCTGAGGCCCACAAAACTCTACGACCCTAAGCCCAAGCCCCCCCTTCCACTCCTGAAAGCATCCCCCAAAGCACCAACCACCCCAAAACCCTAAAAGCCTCAAGCCTCCCCCCAAAACCGCAAGCCAACAATGTCAAACGCAAGCGCCCACCAAACAAAGTCCCCCCCTAACCCACCAACCCCCCCCCCCCTAACCCACCCACCCCCCCCCCCTCCCCCCCAAGACTACGTAAACCCTAAACCCTAAACCCTAAACCCTCTTCCCTCAGACTGTGGATCTGCCGGGCCATGTGGAAACTGCCCCGGGCACGGCCGCTGCGGCCATGGCCTTATGGGAGGGTTCTTTGGTTTAGGGTTCAGGGTTCAGGGTT